CCTTGGGCTTACCTTTGAGTGGTTGACCTTCAGGGCTCCCTTGGCCCTGGGATGAGGGAGAAGAATGTTGTCTTTTGGGGGTGCAGAGGGCGTAGAAAATGTGGAAGGAAGGAGGAGAGGTTGGAGCATTTCTTCCCGTCTGACTTTAGTGTTGCGGTCTTGGCAAACTTTCTTCCCACAGCCTTGAGTCTCTTCCCTTCCATTGGCCCTTTCTAATCTTCAATGCTTTCCCATCACGTATTTGTTTCCACAGTCCTTCCCACATCTCTGTCGTGTCCTGCTGGTAACGTCTCCTCTTTGGAAGCACGAGGAGTTCATTCTAATTTCTGCTGTTTGAGTCCCAACTGAGGATGCATACAAGCATAAGTCAAAATATCAAAATCCGAAGCTTTTGTCTCTTGCTAGATTCTCTATCTAGAGCTATCCACAACGGAAGTCCCTGTTCCCATCTCTCTCACACTTCCTCAAGAAAGTTTGCAATCTTAGATGTACACTGCATCAATAGGTTGGGCATTCTCAAGGGACTCAGATGGTGTTCCTTTGTAATTATCTTTGTGTTCCGGGAACAAGTCGTCGAAGGTACAATATCAGTGCTGAATACAGGAAGGTTTCCGAATGGGATTCTCGCAGGGCATCTTTGCTACCCTAGAAGAATGAGCAGGTGTGTTGTCCTGCTGGGAAAAACATTCCTTGATGCAATCTGGTCTTTTCCTCAGCAGGACAGCTTTCAATATTTTAAAACTTCTTCCTAATGAAGCCCCTGAGATCATGCTGTGTTTTTCAAGAAAATCTATTAATCTATTAAGATTTCCCCTTTGAGATTTTTGTTTCATTCATTTAGGTAGGGGGTTACATTTCAGATCATGAACTTGGTATTCTACAATCCAAACTCCTAACCAGCGCCCCCGTCAGCTTACCCCTCCCTTGCTCCTCGTTTTCCCTTCTCCCTCATGTGGTTCAACATTGTCCAGTTCACTCATGTGAACACCTATCAACTGCCTGGCCCACTGCTTTATTCTCTCTCCTCTGCCCTCCCTCTTTGACAAGCTCCAAAGTCCGTTTGGTACGAAAATCTGTATCTTGTTTGATTTTTCCCTTGTATCTGTGATCTCATATCATCCTTTTCATTTTGTGATTGACTGATCTCACTCAGTATGTTCTCCAGTCCCTCCATGCCATGAGGTGCTCTGTGGTTTCATCGTTGCTTTTAGTAATGCACAGTACTCCGTCGTGTACATGTGTCCAGGTTTCTTTACCCATTCTTCTACTGATGAGCATTTAGCCTCTTCTCATCTTCCTGCTGTTCTCAACAGTGCCGTGCGGAGCAGGGGCGCATGGTTTGCGCATGTTCTGACTCTGACTTCTTTGGAATATATATGCCTGAGGGATTGCTGGAGCTTATGGAATTTCGATTCCTCGTTGTTTGAGGGAGTGCCACAGCACTTTCCACAGTGGTTGTGCATATTTATAGACCCACCAGCAGTGCACGAGGATTCCAATCTCTGCAGCCTCGCCAGTATTTGTCATGTTCTGGATTTTTTTTTTTTGATCTTTAACAAATCTTCAAATACAGTCACCATCTAAACTAATCTCTCTGCCTTGAATTTAGCTGGCCCAACAGATCCCCTCGGAAGCCACTGTTCTGAACAGGACCTTATTTCTGAAGTTACCACCCTGAGACTGAGACAAGTGTGTTACCGAGAAAATGTACCTGCAGCCATATACCGCTTTGTTTGTGATGAACCCAGACGTGTAGCCACTGGATTCCTAGTAGCAATAGTTGTTACTTAGCTTCCTATATGCAACCTTTGCCCTAAGATGTCTGCTTATCATAGATAAATGGGTATTAGAGGGGAAATGTTGAAATTATCAGGGAGATTTCTAAATTAGTCACAGATATTACCAAACAAGTTCCCAACTACAATGTATTTTTTCTCCATGTCATTCACAGGTTTCTGTATTGAGCAGACAATACTGAAGGATCTAAAGGAACTGTCTGATGGAGAAATAAAAGTAGCTGTTAGCACCGTGGATATGAGCCTCGAGGTAAGGGCAGGGATGTTTCAAACGCAGTGATATGTTTCAGATAACAGCAACACGAGTCACGGGGATGCACCGTCTCCCTGCCCCGTCCCACACATTGGTGTTAGTCTTGTACTCTGTGATGCTTCATCTTGACATGACTCGAAATATAGGCTGTTACTTTGGCTGAAAACACTATGCTAAATCAATGTAAATACCAAGCTGATGTTCCCAAGTTGAGTGAATTACATTCAGCTCAGTAAATAAACAGATAAAATAAAAACCATATCTATAGCATACAGTGTATATAACATGTTTTACAGCAATTATAATATATGTGTGATGAAAGATTCACTCTTTTTTTTCTTTGCACAACCTTTCATTGCCCATAGAATGGAGGCAGCTGGTTTCCTTTGGTATGTCATTTAGATGCATGTCATTTTGGTAATCAATGGTACAATGCCAATATCAATATGGAATCTCTTTCCAGTCTGTTGTAAGAGTGGCTTAGGCTACTCTTGTCTTTGTGCGGTTCCTTGGTAAATTATTTTTTTGTCTACTTTAGGGATTTTCAATGACTTGTATATTACTCTTAGTTGACCTAGTTAATGGGGACTATATTTTACAGAGGCAGAACTGTGCTGTGTCAATGCCTGTACATTTCTTCCCTGTTGTAGCACCTTGATCCACCTTTGACTGATGTATCCGCTCTCGTCAAGTGTAAGGAGGTTGTGTTTGGGTTTTGTCTTTCAGCTTCCAGAACTGCCTGTGGCAGAAAGCCCAAGAGCAAGTCAAGAGTTTTTGCTTTGTGGTGTCTTTGAACATGTTGTCCCCCATTAACTGACATCATAAATCATCTCCTAGATGTATGTCAGTATTGGGAGGCAAACCGCCACCATTCCAGACAATCACGTGGTCTCGTGCTATATTGTGTCTCACCATTGATGGACCATAGTCTCCCTGCATGTAGTGGGTGGAAGGAGTTAATTATGTGCTATGGGCTTTCAGGTTGATAAATACTCCATATAACTCAGTGCTGATGTGAATCAATGTAAGAAATACATGCAATTTGGGAAGTAGTAACTAGATAATCACCTCCAATTAGAAATCTGCGTTGTGTCTAGCAAGCCAAAGGAGACAGGATCTTGCAAGGGTCAGTAACTCTGAGAATCATTTCCACTAGTTCAAGCCTTAGGGTTTTCTCTCTCTTTCCCACTCCCCTGTCTCCCTTAATTTAATGGCATCTTATTAGGTTTTAAATGCCTTGTTTAGAATTCTTTTCTAAATTAACATAGAACATCTTATAATTGCTTAGGGAACTGCCTCTAGTTAGTAAATTCTTACAAAGCTATTAATGTAGACTTTCCATAGCTTTAATGTATCTTCATTGGTATATTATAGGGGTATACAGATGACTTTGTCAAATACGTTAAACTGTAAATGCTTACAGGCTGAGTAAATGATCAAATGATCGTCTTAATCTTGACAGCAATTTACAGAGAGGTCCAGTAATTAATCAGGTGGTTAAGTACCTCCCCAGGAATGTTGTATGATCTTCCAGGTGGAGGGGAGAAGGACCCTTGCATGGATCAATAAGATACACAGTTTAAACTCTAATCAGCTAAACAAGAGTTTTTTCCTTTTGTCAGTGGAAATGGGAGGAGTGCAGGAGAAGCTCCTTTGTAACATTGCACATCTCTCTTGAAAAAGACAGTGCACGTTATTGACTTCATCTGCCGACTGGGAAATCTCCCAGGTAAAGGGCAGGGTTTGGTCTCTCTGTAGGCTCTTTTGCAGAAACTGGTATTTTCCTGATCTGTCTCACTCCTTTCTAATTTCCACGGGCCTTGATTTTTTAAAAACAACAGACTTTAATTTAGGGGGGTTCGGCGGGGAAGAGCAGTCAGCTTGTTTTCAGGGAAATGCTCTGACTGCCCTGCCTTTCGAAGCCACTTCTTCTAGGAAGCAGGGTCCAGATTTAGGCACTTCCTAATGCCCGTGGTCAATTCTCCATCTTTCACTATCACTCTTTGCACCCTTACAAATTTGACGTAAAAGACCAATTTAGGACTTAAATCTATCTCTTCCATTCATTTCACCTTGCTTCATATAGTTAGTTATGCGTAGGCAATATATTCTTAAGTTACTTAAGAGTAATGATGCTACCTTTTACTCCCTTTTCCCTTCCATGAGTCGGCTTCCAAAAGTTCATGAAATTAGTCCACTGTCTTGTAATTCTATTTTCCCATGGATTTTTTTTGAGGCTTCCTTTTATTTCCTGGTACAGTGCTGAGCTAGTATAGTAGGTGCTTAATAAATACAACTACCTATATACTTGAGGATAAGCCGACCTGAATATCAGCCGAGGCACCTAATATTACCACAAAAACTGCATTAAAAGTGTGCTGAAAAAACGCAGCTTATAATCGAGAATATATGGTACTTAGTTAACACATGTTGGTGTTTACAACTTTTCCCTTTGATATCTGGCTTTTATTTCCTTCTGAATTTAAATAAATCAGCTAGCAAAGCAAAATCACTTACCTGAGCATGCAAGTCAACATTCTTTAACTTTCTAGCTTTTTCAGAGAGCTCTAGTTGGAGGTTGAGATCAAGCAGGTGAAGAATGGTCCACGTCTTGAGAGACCGGGCTGCTTACCCAGGTGTTTCATGCTGGAGTGGGCAGCTTGGTAAAGGAGTTACCTCTCTGTCACTGGAAGGAGTAACCTGAAGTTCTTCGTCATGTGAGCAACATCAAAAAGAATATTCTGTGTGTTTCTCATGGTCCTTTACAAGGCCACAGTGACCCAGTCCTCTGTGCAAGGCCTTCATCTGCATGATGACCCTATTATGTCTCTTGAGTGGAAATATTCAGGAAATTAGAAGGGTAGATGTCCCTTTGCATAAGCTTATGTTTGCAAAGAGACTTACCTTTTTTTGTTTTTTGTTTCTTAACTATAGCACATTCCTGTTGGGGATACACTAGCATTTTGAAATCTTTCACTGGTATCATTGTGCCTGGTCCATTCAGTCATTTTCTTTGCCTGCCAGCTTATGCATCAGGAAATGTTTAGCGATCAAAGCATATGCTTAAGTAGAACAAACTTTAGCTTTATATGATTTTCCATCAAAATAAGGTGGCAATTATATTACCTGGGCCTAGCTTACTCCCAAGAAAAGCTGAGCAGTACAATAAATTGTCAGAAGGAGGGAACACCTCTTTTATAAAAACTCTTTCTATTTCAGACATCACTGAAGTAAGTAAGGTTGTGTGGTTGGAGTGGGTGCCAGTCCCCCACCACTAATCACGGGTTCAGTAAGCACAATTGTATGGTTGAGATATATATAAAGATTATATTAAAGTCATTGAGAGCATGAGAGATAGAAGAGAGATTGGAATGGTGGAGTCAGACACAGTTCATGGTAGCATGCTCACCTCCTGGATGGCCATGATCTTACCAGCCAGATCCGTGCACAGCGTGGGCCAAGGTGAGGTGGGGCAGGGACCCAGCTGGATGCTCGATTACCTGGCAGGAGGTTGGAGGACCCGTTTATTGCTAACCAATGGTTATATCTACTTAGGGGGGCAGGAATACAGGTATCCACACATCACAGGAAGGAGCTGTACAATAGGCATACACATCATATGAAGGGAATGTACGATAGGGGTATACATGCGACAAGATGGGTGGACCCTAGATTCATGATGGCAGCCTAACTTTGGTCATCCTTGGGCGGGTTTGACTTCTCTGGGGTCTCCTACAAAGAAACAGACAACTACTATCCTTATCAGAAGGGAGTGGGCCCTACTTGTTGTGGGATAAACAGTGGTGACCGCTTGCTCTAGGTGGGTGATAACCGTTAGGGAGAATAACCCCTGATCTACTTCTGATGACCTTCAAGCAGCTAAGTTTGGCATATATTTGGGGGAGAAAACTTGGGAGACATCCTTGTTTCCCAAAATTCCCCCTTTTGTTTTATACATAAAATTCAAAAGAATCACAGTGGCTACATGGTTATTTTCTATACATTGAAAGCTGTCAAGGCAAAACTTCATGATCCCATTAATATAGCCAAAAATGCAGGCTTATAGCAAACATTTTGTATTGAGGCATGGAGGATAAAGTCCCCCTATGCCCATCTGCTATTGGAGGAAGGGATGAGAGGGGCTGGATGCCGCAGCGGGTAGAAAATGAGCAAATAGGAACATCTGCTTCTGCAGGGATATAGAATCAACCATGTGCTCACTTTAAGGCAGCACAGCTTTAAGGGGAGAAACAGTGGAACTGATAGCCTACCACAGGAAAATGTTCTTGGACTATATCTCCAACTACCAGAGTGGTGGCTTTCCTACCCTGAAACACTGGCTTTCCAGATTCCCTCTGTAGCAGTTAGGAAATAAGTCCCAGTCCTATTTCCCTTAATGCTAGTATCCCACAAGGTTGCTCATGGCAACACCAAGCATTATTTCACCTCCCCTGTGCAGCTTCAGAAGGGCTATCAGCCATTAACATCTTTACCTTAGGAGAACAATAAGCAAATACTGAATTGATCACTTTTGGTAACAATCAGTTGCATTATGAATTATTTCTGTATATATACTATTTATGAAGTAGTCCATTTTCCTGATAAACTAGAAAGAGGAGAACTTAGAATAAAACATTGTCTCTCTGAACCTGCAGTGGGTTGGGTTTGGATTTGGTTTACTGATCTCTTAAGGGCACAGTTGGCCAGTGCACAGCATATGCAGCCTCTACCTGTCTGCCAATGGAGGCTTGCATGTTGTTATGATGCTGAAAAGGTTTCAGCAGAGCTTCCAGCCTAAGATCAACTAGGAAGAAAGGCCCACTCAAAACAGGGGCCTATTGCCTGCTAAACGCACGTCAATGGTTACTATCACATGCATTAAATTTCAAGTCATTATTTCTTTAAATGATCTGAAAGTTCTTTCCTCTGTTGATGTTTTGTCTCCTTTATTTGGATCTGGACTAAGAATTGCTCTGGCCGGATTTCTCTTTGGGAGC